CCATATCAAATCACATGAGAGAGCTGGAACACATGAGTATAGCTTAGCATAAACTTCTTAAAAGGAATTGAACTAGGCACTGATCTCTTTGAACACCCTAAATGAACACTTGCCAAAATGGAAAAGGTGGTGTGTTTTCATTGACAAGAAAGGAGTCTTACAAAAAAGATTCAATTTTATAACCTACATAGAGTAAACAAAGGGAAAGACAAGCTATTGGAATTCCTTTCAGTTTGTGGACTTTATGTAGGGACTTGTATTGAAAGTATTAAATTCAACAAGGCAGGTATGATATTTTTAGTCTACTGTACTTCATATCTTGAAAATATGAGCATGTGAAATGAAGGTATGATCACGCCTGATACAAGATGTCTTAGGCAGAGCTTGTATAGGATGACATCTAGGTTTCCTTTTCAATACCGAGGACACAGTGGTTAAAGAAAGACAAGGGCAGCCTAAAATAACCAAGATAGAAGTTATAAGCTTTGTTCTACTATTAACAACTATCTGTGAAGCCCACTGCAAATCATCACCTGTCAGCCCCAGACATGTGGCAAGAGTCTGTTACTGCCATCTGCATGCTGTTTCCTGACTGTGACACTGCTCATATTGCCTGTTTTGGATAAAACAATTCTACACAAACTGTGCTTTTTTACAGACATTTGAAGAACCCCCACATGTTATTACAGTGTTACATTACAAAGAAGTATAAAGAATTTCATATTATGAAAAACTTAGCACTTTTCTTCCCACCAATGACATCTCCTCCATCAGTTCAGAGGACTGTGGGGTGAATCAGATTCCTACTCACGTCATTCACAACTGAACACAAAATCTGTGTAATATGTGGGAAAAGGGGGTTCAAAGAAAGCTCTTCAAGGTAATGCTTGAAAAGTTATTTTTCCAAGTTTTAGCCTTACTTTTCCTTTGGAGTTTTTGTGTTACACTGTCAGTGTACAATCACAGAGGTCCCTTAAATCAGACATCTCCTAGATCATTTCATGCTCTTCATTTTATGGCCTCCACATGGCCTATGAAACCTGTTTTAGAGTTAAGTTCTTTGTGTTACTCCCAAAGCCCAGGGAATGCCTGCTTCTAGCACACAAGCTATGAAAACAAATTAATTAAATATGAACGCAAATTATGAAAAAACACCTACATCCTTGTTTTAGGCAAGCTTGGGAATCAACAGTAGTCCTTTCCTTAAGTTCTCCCATCTGCTAAACAGGAAAGTGACATCCTTTAACACAGGAACATACTGAAGTTATGTTAACAAGCAGATAAGAACTACTAGGACACTAGGCAAGACTACCATAGAAAGTATTTCCACTCTGACATGGTCAATATTTCTGCATTCAGGATTAGGTTTCAATCTTAGGAACAAAAGGGAGGGTCATGCCTCAAAAAATAATAAATAAAAACAAAAAAACCCACAAAAAAAAAAAAAAAAAAAAAAACCCACAAAAAACCCCCCTAAAGTAAATACCAAATTACTACTCATTTTGTGGGCACCAACCATTCAGGGTGGTAAACTAGGCAGTGACTGCAACACTATATGAGGTCTTTTAATTAAAGACACTTTTGCATTATATACAGTGCAAGGGGTTGTAATTGAGATTGCAAAGACTTCTGGATTTTCCATCACTTATGGTTTTGATTTTGAACCCTTTAAATTCTCCAAATGAAGTACTTCAGAATGCAAAACGCTTTATCATTTATTTCAGAGTCCAAGAGAATCAATTGTCTTCCACTGATGGGGATTCCAGCCCTTCACAGAAAGTCTCTATGCTCTTATATCTCAAAGTTAGCTGACAGTACTTTGATATTCTTTATCACATGCTCATCACATTCTGGTAATGGAACTGAAACACCTTTTAATCAACAGGTATAAATAAATTCCATCATAACACGAATAACACCAGCCAAATTAGGCTTTTGTAAGCCTATTAAACAAGAAAAATACTAATGACAATAGAGGTACACCAGTGTAATTTAATGGAAAGTGAAGCTCTATAGTCTATATTTGCAAAAGCACCGCAGTTCCTACTTGTCATTGAAATAATTTTGCATGGATTTTGCATCTGAACGACTTGGAAAATTTATGCCTTTAACTCAAACTGTTAGTAAGACCACTTAGGAGGTAACATACTATTTTCTGTATCTGTGAGATGAACATGTGTGGTCCAATACCTCTTCACATCAGTCACCAATTTCCTTTTTGTTTAACATAAAATTTCTGGAAGGACAGAGGGGAGAGGAAAGCAAATTTTCTTGTAAGTAAATGCAAAATACTTTTAGAGGATGGAGGGATTTAACCGCCTACCACATGTGGCAGTCAGGTTATCTCCTGAAGCATGACAATTCACTGATTGACAAGGAATAAAAGTAATATCTGTTGTTAAATTATCGAACCATTAGTCTTACTGGTTCTTTGCCAGGCTAACTCTTTCATCAAAAGCGGTCTAATATACTCAGAAATATTTTAAAATTGAAGTTTCTTCTGCACCTCTTTGCTATCTTTTAATGTTTGGGTATTTTAACCTTGGCTCACATCAGTAGATGAGGGTCTTGCATCTATTCTGAGACTCTTCTATTCATAACTTCCCAAGAGATTAAAATATTTCCATTTTATAGACCAGGCAACAAAATATATTGAGAAGACTGGAGGGGCAAAGGAGTTTGGTGCCCTGTCAAGGGAAAGTCAAAGGCCAAAGTTTGGCATTAGGGTCCGAAATAATGCATGGAAAGAGCCTGGGATGCCACGTTGGGAGTTGTTGGGCCAATGTCTGTGTCAGGAGTCACTTCAAGCCAGCTGATGCTGCACAGCTCTGGCAAGCCCCAATGAAAGAATGTTATTTTTTCTGTCTGACTGCATGTCATGGGTTCCTTTACCTCCTTCTGCAGTAAAATCAGCCTTTTCTCAAAAATGCACTTGGAAGAGTTGTACAGCAGCTTCTGCCTCCCTCAATGCAGTCAGTGGTTAAAGGACTCCACCCACCTGTGAGAACATACCTTCAGCTCCTTTCTCTGATTGCAAGGAACTTCCAGGATTTCCCAGGTGAATCATTTTACTACAAGGTTGCATACTGTGGTGATATATGATGTTTGTAGCAGTGTCTGTTGAAACTGCCACATTTTGCCAAAATACAGAAGGAAATAGTAAACATGAACATGGCTATTTAGGTGCCGTGGTGTTTGGGAGGAAAAGCTATGAACCATTTTCTGCTCCTCTGAATATTTAATACTTAAGACAAACAAACATTCATTGAATTCAGATAATATTTACTTAAGCCATTAGTCAATATTTTCCTCATTAAGGATGGCAGGATTTGACCCATTCCACAATCAATCCAGTGGCACCAGGTAAATAATATCGTTTTTAACTCACATTTTTCATACAGAAGGCTTCCTTAAGAAAATGGAATGAAATTTACAGATGCAGCACACATAATATTTAGATGTAATATTAGCTCCATTGGGAAGAAAAAAATCCTGAAAGTTAACAAAAATTGATTGATGCTCCCTGACTGGAAGTGTCTGTAATTTTTTGCATGATAGCAATATGGAATGTGTTAACTCCATGAACACCAGTCTCCTTTACAACTGCTGTTGCTATTCTAACCACATTATCAACCTCACACATGTTTACCTCAGGGATATTTAGCCAGCCATAATTGACTTTTGCACAAAAAGAAAGCTGCAGGCAAGGTTTAATCCTTTTGGGCTTGCCTTCTCAGTAAAACAAACAAGTATCTAAGAGAATTGTAACTAGATAAAGTATAAAATCAGAGCATGGGGTGAACCTGTTCAGTCTTCTTCAATTTTGTAATTCTTAAAATTTTCAAAATTAGGATATCTGGAAATTCACATCTTTGCAGGTAAAATGTCACAAATAAACAGAGAATTCAGCATCTCCACTTCCAATAAAAGCATTTCTCTAACTGTTATTTGACCATGTCAGATTCCGTTATGGAGGTGGTATTGTATTCTCTGGGAGCGTCCCAACAAAGGCAGGAATGATGCCTCTGAATCCATGTTCTCAGAAGGCTAATGTATTACTTTATGATACTATTTTATATTAAAAAATACTATACTTAAGAATACAGAAAAGATACTTACAGAATGCTAAAAAGATAATAAAGAAAACTCGTGACTCTTTCCAGAGTCTCAACACAGCTTGGCCCCAATTGGCCAAAGAGTCAAATCAACTCACACTGGAGACCAGTCAAACAATCACCTGTGGGTAAACAATCTCCAAACACATTCCACACATGAGAAGCAAATGAGGTAAGAATTGTTTTCCTTTTCTCTGAGGCTTCTCAGCTTCCTAGGAGAAAAATTCTGGGCAAAGGAATTTTTTTCAGAGAATGTGAATGCCACAAGGTGGAGTTTTAAAAAGCCTGTTGAACTAATATCACACTAAACTCTATCTGATAAGGTTAACGCCAGGTAGCAGTGATTGCACATAAACTCTAGGTGAGATTAATATGGTAGGTTGTGTCATGTTTTAACCCCAGCAGCCAGCTCAGCCCCACCAAGGAGGATGGGGGGATGCTGTGGGATATTCCATTGGTCTGTTGGGGTCACCTATCCTCATTATGTCCCCTCCCAATTCCGTGTGCACCCCCAGCCCCCTCTCTGGTGGGTGGGGTGAGAAGCAGAAGAGTCTAGAGTCTGTGTAAATGCTGCTCGTCAGTAAAACTACCAGCCCTGAATTATCAGCACAATTTTGGTCACAAACCCAAACACACGGCCCCAGTCAAAACCAGCATAGGTGGCTAAGACTGGTTTTCAGTACATTTTTAACCTTATGCTACCAGGGAAAGAAAGCAGGCCTGCACTGCTTTTACTCACATGCCCTATTCCCAGTCCTGCACAGATTTGTCTTGTGCTGATACCAACATTTGTATGAATATATGGTAAATTGTTCAGGGAGCTGATCTGGCTGAAAACCAGCCATTTTCACCCAAGGTTAGTTGTTTTAGCTCAGATCCACTCACCACATGGTGCATCTCACACTTCATGATGAACACATGAAGAAGGGGGAAGACTCCAAGACTGTTTCTTCTGACAGCAGGACCAACTTAAACTGATAATTCAAGTTTGTCTTCAAATAGTGGGAAAGAAGCATACTCTAGAGTTGCATCTTTTCCTTGCTGTCAGGAAAAAAAAAAAAAAAGAAGCTCAGCATACTCAAGCTTAAATTTCTAATTGCAGATAGCTGAATTGAGAGACAGCTCATCCATAAGCAAAGCAAAAATTCAAACCAAAGTATTATTTTAGAGTTTTAACTCCCTGTGTCAGGTCAATCATCTCAAGTGTAGGTAAAGGCAACCAGTCCCAGGCTATACAATAGAGGAGAAGTTTGGACAGTCAGGATAAAATTGTTGCTTCATAAAATGAATAGCAAACTTCTTGTTGATGTACAGCACATAAGAATTTTATCCTACAGCCCTAAGTTTTAATCTGTTTTTATCCTTTGCTTAGTTCATAACAAATCAACTAATTTATCTCTCCTTTCTTTGTTTGTAAAATGGTCATTGATAGGACTGTATTTCTAAAATGCTTTCTAATAATATATAGGAAAGAATTATTTAAATGCTAAGTACATTATTATCTATTATCTGACAGGTCATCTGCTCTACTAGCAGAGCAATTACAGAAAATGTCCTACATATATTTATATGCAGATAAATCTAGATTTAAGTGAAAAGTTTGAAAGAGGAGGGAAATAAGTGACTTCCTTAATTTACTCTTTCATATATGAAATTTTGTATAAAGCTTTTGTAAACTGTTCTTTGTCTTATGCTATAAATCCTATTCCCTGCAGGAAAAAGAAAAAACCCAACCACTTAACTTCTAAACTTCATCACTACTCAAGTAACTGTGGTCCAACTGAATGTGTATGTGGAAACAAGCAGCAGGTTTTAACCAGAGAAGGATATTCTACACACAAAATAATAGAAAAGAAGCTTGATTTTTTAAATACAGCAATTTGGAGTGTTCCTAGCAGAGACAATGTTGTCATCTTATTGCAAAGCTCCCATACCTTGTCAGTCATGTCTCATGGGCATCTCCTTGCAGCACTGACACCTTCTTCTTCACAGCCAACAAACTCCATCTCTCCCCTCACCCAGCTAACCCACTCTTTTGTAGCACTCTTCTTCTTATTGGACACAGCTGTAGCCTATTAAGGGTGTTCCTAATCTTTGGTGATTTGTACAGCTGCAACACCTCAGCTGTGAGACTACCTTCTGCACTATCTTTATTTTCTTACATTCTATCCCTCCACAACACAATAATTTTAAGCAAATATGTGTGTGTGTAGGGAAGGTGTTGTACTGAGTCAGGCATGATATTATTGTTTTAATCAAAAAGTAGCAATCATGGTATGGAAGCCTGTAAAGATACTACAGATATCTATAGATAGATATAGACATCCACAGAAAAACTACATTTAGTTATAGAGATAGATATAGATAGGTAGGTAGGTAAATGATTGATAGATAGATAGATAGATAGATAGATAGATAGATAGATAGATAGATAGATGGAAATAGAGATATTTATAGCCTATAGATGCTTCAATCTTTTTGTGATTGTTTTTTTTTTCCTGAAAATCTATTAAGATATCATTGAGTAAAAGGCTTTTAACTGAGTATACATCTCACAAGAATACCCTTACTATTATTATTCATCAAATATTGTTATTTGTGGTTGCCATCACTACAGAATACACACAGAGAGAAAAATTGGATCATAAAATGTTTAAGGTTGGAAGGGACTGCTGGAGGTTGTGTGGCCAAACCCTCCATTAATGAAGGGTCACCTAGATCTGTTTGCCCTCAACCATGTTCAGATGGCTTTTGAGTATCACTCAGGATGGAACAGGGAAGTTACACCACAACTCCAGAACTGTCTCTACCTGTACTTTTGATTGTCATTCCATAGAATGATGAGGAGGACTTCCAAAATATCCTCAAAATCTTCTTCTAGACCTTAGCAAAATATGGGGTATATTAAATCACTAAATTAGATGGTTTTGGGACAAGTTCTTTTATTAAGGGTGCAGCAATACCTTCCACAGACTGTGAGTCTGAGAATAGAAAGCTGTAGGACATCTGTAAAAAATGTGAATATATCTCAGTTTAAACTCCTGTACAAAAATTAGACTAGGGCTATGGAAAGAGATTGAAAGTACAAGTTGAGCCTGCATTGAAACTAATGCATCACAGAAAATATAAAGATATACTACTAAATATACTGCATTAAAGACAGTTTATTATTCATCATCAATTTTTAATACATCAATATTTTTCTCATATACTTATGTAGTTGCAGAAAACAGGAAATAATTTTTGCAGAAATCATTAAAAGATGGATTACTTCTATTTTGGAATATTATATGCCATTACCTGTCTAAAATCTTTAAGAGGTGGTCAAATCTTTTATTATAGTGTTTCTAAAACCTCCCACAGTGCTTGCAAAGCTGAAATTTGTTTTCATGTATATGAAAAGATAAAAATCTTTTCACTGTATTTCAAGTCCCATGTGAAGTTGAATTACATTTTAAGAATTGTCACTTATGCACTGGTTGTGTGAGTTTCAATAACAGCAGTCACTGGGCTGCTGTTATTAAGGAATGAAAAGGCAGGAAGCAGCAGTTTAGCCAAGGTTTTATGCTGGGTCTGCTTGGTGGGCTTAGGGGGAAGATGTTTGATTTACTCCAGGCAGTGGGCAGGAAAAACAAGAAAATTCTCAAGATGTTCAATAACAAACTTTTACTTGCAAAATTTAGAATACTGAGGTACAATATGGTACTCGGTAAATTTTGAAATGTAGCCATTTTCATTAGAAATGCAACAATATAAAAGCATAAAAATAATGCTTAAGAGAATGTATAATGAAAAGGAAAGAGAAAAAAGATAAGAGCAGAAATGTGTACAGTCTCCACCCTTGGATCCACAAATTAGACTTGATTGTTGCAATTTTGGTGTTGTTGGTCAAACTGATGGGGGCAGTCCTGATCTCTTGCAATGGGGGGAAACCCATGAAAAACAAAGTCTGGTGGGTTAATATGCTCAGGCTCACTGGGATTGCCCAGGTGCTTCTCCTGGGGTGGGAAGTTTTACACTGTATGATATCATACTGTGGATCATGGTATCCCACTACTCTGGGAGTCTTTGACACCACCTAAGACGTGACAGCTGCCTCTTCCCTGTCAGAGTTTATCAGTCATGGCCCATCAGAAGGGATGGACCTTCAGGCTCATGTCCTGGTACTTTCCTGAGGGGAGTTTTCACAGCTAAGCCACTTGTGTAAGAACATTAACACGATGAAAAGCACTATCCCACCTCACAGGAGTTGTCTTTTTGTTTGAGAACAATTCTGCAGTGAGTAGGTCAGCAGATTAGGGCCATTTTTAATGTAAATTTCTGAAGAACATGAGAAATGCATGCAGGTTGTAGCACACACTGATGAGGTGTAATGGAGTTGAGTACATATTCTACTCTTCATCCTCCAGCAGAGTATTCCAGAACACAATAGCATCTAGAACATCCTCTGGAGAAATCTACAAGCAATCTTCTTCAATCCTGTACCAAATTCAGTATGCTGCAATGCCTGTCAGTCAATTAATAGCACCAAGACTGAGGGCAGCATGGCAGCCAGTTGTTTCATTTCTTAGGGAAATAGATATTTTAATGAACAAATATATGAGAAAGTCTCACTTTCTTCCCTCTCCAAACCTTCCCATTTCAATCATTACATTTATATTTTGATCTCACAGAGCCTATTTTCCATGTACATTGTAAAATATCCATTGGGAGCTATTCAATGTATGAATAAATAATTCTCTGTGTGCTATAATGTAGGTCTCTTAATGGCACCACAAATATACTGATCTCAACCATCTACTTATCAACATGGTTGTCTACATCAACACATATAAAAACTGCAGAGTACAATGGCTGGCAAACCACTCAGGACAGCAAGGGGAAACTTGCAATGAAAGATTGTACCAGAATTTGTATAATTACAAATTTCACAAAGAGATAAGTTTCCCATCTCTGACTCTCTTTTAAATTTCTGCCATGTAGCATGATCAAGGGGTTATGAATCTGAATCTCAGTTTTCACATATGCTAGCCAGAGGTTATTCATTTGTTTGTGGGGTGGCTGCAGACTTTCCCATCCTCATGTCCCTTTATTCTATTTCCAGCTGCCCTGAACAGTGATCAATAAGTTACCAGTCTGTGCTACAATCAGTTTCCTAATTCATTTCTGCTCCTACAAAAAAAAAAAAAAAAAAAAAAAAAAAAAAAAAAAAAAACCAACAAAAAACCTTATTCTTTTTAAATTTTTTATTACATAGATCAATATAATCAGAGTTCTGAGTCTGTCTTGCCTGCACTCAGCATAGGCAGCCAGCGTGGGGACCAGCCAGTTTCTCAGTAATGTTCATGCCAAGAGAGAGATTTTCCCCCCACACCAAGTTCTCCTAATGGCTTCCTCTGAGATGCCAGGGTGGCCTTGCATCCCTTCACCACAACTCGCTCTCTCCTGCCACATCCGCTTTATAAAATGATGCCTTCCAATTTTAGGCCCATTTTTTTCCCCATGAGTAGTGAATGCTCTGTTAATCTTTAGGAATGATCCTCCCAAGAAGGCTGTAACTTCTATTTTAAGGAAGATTACAGTCTGGGTGAATGAACTTTATGACTGCAGTTAGTACTATTTCTAATCCGCCTTTGCTATCTGAGGTTTGGTAGAAGGTCACAGAAGTTTAAATTCTGGACTACCTTGCCAGAAATCATCTGCCTGAAGAGTTTTAAACTTCCCATCCATTTACAGATCTGACCCTGCATCACTCTGCATGTGTTCTGGCTTTCCAGAAGCCCTCCTATCCATAGCAGAATTTCTGTTAATATTTCATATAATTGTCAGATTTTACGTAATTCCTTCATCTCCATGTGTTTAGAAAATCTACATTTTTTCATAATTCCCATACAAGACTCTGCCTAACACATGACACCAACTGAGAAATATAATTCCAGGTATTAAATCCAATATGTATAGTGTTTTTATTAGAGAAATTGCATAACTATAAAACCAGCTGAAAAGAGTCCATGGTGCTACTACTCAAAATA